CTGGACAATTCAGAGTGAAGTTTGGGTGGAACTGTGAGGTCCAAAGTCAGATTGTAAAGGGTTAAGGAGGGAAAGTGGAGGCACCTAATATAGATGGACCTTTTTGAGTTTAGCTACAAAGGGCAGAAGAAATTCAGGATGATAGCAGGGAGGGAAGGACCAAGTGGGGATTTTTTTGAGGATTAGGGAGACACCGGCATGTTTGTAGACAATAGTAAATGAACCAGTAGAGGGAGAGATTTGAAATAAGGGAGAGTGGGGATGACAGAGGGAGCAATCTGCTGGAAGAAATGGGATGGAATGAGATCACTTGTGCAGGTGGAGCAGTTGGCCTTGGTAAGGAGTGAGGCCATCTCTCCATGTGAGACAAGGGTGAATGAAGAGATAGTGGCCAAAAGCACCTGGATGATGTGAGGAAGCAAGAAAAATGGAGAACTCTTGGCCAATGGCCCCATTTCCCCATTAAATATGAGGCAAGGTTCTCAGCTGAGGAGGTGTGGGAAGAAGACCCAGTTCTTCATAAGCTAGTCCCCTCCTACCTTTCTAATCTCCTTACACCAGGGGTGGGGAACCTGTGGCCTCCAGGCCACATGTGGCCCTCCAGGTCAGTGGGTGCGGGCCTTTGACTAAGTCCAAGTTTTACAGAACAAATCCTTTCATGAAGGGATTCATGTCAAAGGGCGGCGCTTGAGGACCTAGAGGGCCACATGTGACCTCCAGGCCACAGGTTCCCTACCCGGTCTTACACCTTACTCCTCACCACTCCCTCTTCAATATTGGCCTGCTGGCTGTTCCCCAAACAAGCCCCTCCACCTCCAGACATTTTCTCCCTGGGCATTGTCTCTGGCTGTCCTGAGGCCTGGAATCCTGGCCCTTCTTAACTCTGCCAACTGACCACCCTGGCTTCCTCTGAGTCCCAGCTAAACTCCCATCCTCTACAGCAAGCGTTTGCCGACTTCTTCACCCTGGCACCTCCCCTCGGCCGGCTGCTTCCTAGTCTCTGCGATGTGTATTGTTGGCGGAGGTTTGTTTGCTCGCACCCCCTTAGATCGTGAGCTCCCTGAAGGCAGGGATTGTCTTTTGTTTCTCTTTGTATCCCCAGCTCTTAGCATAGTGTCTGGCATATACTGGGTGCTCAATACATGCTTACTGACTGACCGGCACAGACAATCAGGGCAGAATTGGTACTATTTACAGTGTTAAATTTAATTATAAACTTATAAAAACCAAGCTATCGGGGCAGCTAGGTGGTGCAGTGGATAGAGCACAGGCCCCGGAGTCAGGAGGACCTGAGTTCAGATCTCAGCCTCAGGCACTTGACACTTACTAGCTGCATGACCCTGGGCAAGTCACTTCATCCCATTGCCTAGCAAACAAAAAACAAACAAACAAAAAAAAGCTATAAGAAATTAAAGTTCAGTTGCATACACAATCCTCTTGCAATATTCATTTTTCTTGATGATTCTTAAGTTCACAGCAAAGAAAACGTAATTAAAGAAATGTTTACAAACTTAAAAGAAAAAAGGATGGTATTGACATCGTCATTTTGGAGCACAGAGAATTTTTAATCCACTCACGAAATAGATGGAACTACAGGAAACAAAACAGAAAGATTTGGGTTTTCTCTTTTAAAAAAATCCTGTCCAACAAAAACAAAGGAAGGAAGCTGATTGGGAAATAATTTTTCCTGGAAATATTTCTGCTAAAAATCAGACATACATAATCTACAGGTAAGCAGCAGCAAGACCACCTTCCCTAAATGTGAACGGGCAGTTTTCAAAAGAGGAAACAAATTGTCCATAAATCACTGAAAAGCTATTCCAAAATTCTAGCAGCAGTTGAGGTCCAAATGAAAACAGCCATTCAATTATCAGTCAGTTAAAAATGAACAAAAGAATTGCTGGTCAGACAAGCTGGGATTGGGGCTAAGAAATGTCTGACTCAATAATCGTACTTCTGGGACTGTTGCTGAAAGGAAACCAGCTCTTCTCCTGATTCCCACCCGCCTCGATCCTGCCGCCCCAAAGTCCCCACTAAATGCCATCCACCCCTTGACCTGTACCCTCTGGAATGCCTGTTCCATAGGCTGTAACAAACTCCCCTGCATCCTAACTCATTTCCTCTCTCTCTCCCTCCACCTTCTAGCAATCACTGAAACCTGGCTTCCCCCGATTCCCCTCATTCACTTTGGCTCATTGGCCAAGGTGGGCTGGTTCATAGATGACAGGAGCAGAGGCGCTCCCAGGTCTTCATGTATGTATTTCTATTAAGTCTCAACTTGGAAGTGAGCTACTGGAGCTTATCCATTTTTTCCAGCTTCCAATCTCTAATTCGCTGGAATGGGAAGTTGCAGTTATATAAGAAAAGCACCAAGAAATATTTTTAAAAGAACAGTGGTTTGACTGCTAATGCTGAAAATAAGCAGAGACTTTTAAGGAAACTCAAGGCCACAAAAGGGTTTTGTTCTAGTTATACTGTGCGGCCGGCAATGCTCGAGGCGCTCAGGACACAAGGACAAGATGATGCGTGCCCTGCCTTTGAGAAGCCCACGGTCTCGCCAAGGTCAGCCAAGCTAACCCCATAGAGCGTTATATCAAAAACAAGTTGATTTGGGGTTAACATCAGTAGCAGCTGGGGGAACAGGAAAGGTGTCATGGGGTTGTTTGAACTGAGTCTTGCAGGAAACAAGGGATTTCTGAGCAGCAGAAATGAGGAGGAAGGGCATCCCAGGCAGAGAGGGGGCAGTATGTGGAACAGCCCGGAGGTGGGAGATGAAGGCTTATGTATGAGAATGGCAAAAAGGCCGGTTCGGCTGGGTCACGGTGTGCAGAGAGAGAAGGAAGGAAATCCTAATAAGAATGGGAGACAGGCTATAAAGGACTTTAAACATCAAAGCAAAGGGCTTCCATCTGATCCTAGAAGTGCCGGGGTGGAGTTAATTGAAGAGAGGGATGACCTGGCCAAGACTGGACTTTAGGAAGACCACTTCAGTGACGGTGTGTCCCAGAGGAGGGACAAATGCTAGCAGTCTTATAAAAGGAGAAATGACAGCATTTGGCAGCTGACTGGAGGTCAGGGTGAGGGGTCAAGAACGATCTGAAGGGTTTGAATTTGGCTGGCTACAAAGACTGTGGCGTCCTCAACAGAAACAGTGAAGTTGGGTGGGGAGGGCTGGGCTTGGAGGCAAAGATAATGAGTTCTGTCTTGGATATGTTGACTTGGAGATACCTATGGGACAACCAGGTTGGAATTTCTAGTAGGCAGTTGGTGACACTGGGCTGAAATTCCAGAGAGAGACTAGGGCTAGATCATTGGCACAGAAATGATCATTAAACCCATGTGAACCGATGAGGTCACCAAACAAGGGTGTAATAAGAGAGGAAAGTCCAGTTTAGAATTTATGGGTAGCCCCACAGCTAAGAGCCTTGATCGAGACAACTGAGAAGCTGTTGGGATTGCACTGGTAGAAGAGGGAAGTCTCATGATCGTTGGGGCCTCCAGGGTGGACAGGGTGGTGCTCTCAGTGCTCTCTGGACTAGGGGAAGCCTCCCAGAGTGGGCTGGCCAGAGGCAGGAAGTCTTGGAGCGCCACGGCTCGGCCTTCCCTGGAGCTCTGATCCCTCTCCTTTCTTCCCTTGGAGCTGGGCTCCTTCTGCCTCCCCCGAGGCCTAGAACGGACATGGCAACATGGAGGTATCTATTGTAGATGCTCTTCTCACGGAGCTGAACCACAAAAGGGAGAAGAAAAATCAGATTCTAGTGGAGATGGAAGGATCAAGTGAGGGTTTTCCAAGGCTGGGGAACACATGAGTGTGTCTGTAGGCAGCAGCCAAGAGACAGGGAGAGCTTGAAAGTGTGTGAAAGGGTGGAGATGAGAGAGGGTACAATCTGTAGGAGGTGGGACTTGTACAGGTGGGTAAGTTTGCTTTGGAAAGGAGGAGAAGAGCCACCTCTTCATGCGACATGGGTGAAGAAGGAGAGGGCATCTCAGTGACATGAGATGAAGGGGAGAGGAAAGAGAGATCTCAGCAAATGGCCTCAAAACCTGAGGCAAGGTTCTCAGCTGAGAGGTGGGAGCAGTGGGAGGTCTGAGGAGGGACAAAAAGGTCAAGAAGAGCCACCATGGGAAGGGGGATAATGAGTTAATCAGGGAGGTGTGGAAGGACCTCAGCGGAGGCCGTGGAACCTAAATTTGAAGTGGATCTGGCTAGTCCAGCTCTGTGATTTTCTCCACCTCCATTCAGCGGTACACGGGTAGGAGCCAAGGCAGGGGGTGGTGGGAGTGCGCCAAGCTTGGGCTACTCTGTAGGTTTGTAAGAAATGTTGACTGACTGACACATAGCTTGCTTTATGACTGTCTGTACCTACAACCACTGCCTGAGATGAATGAATTGGAAACAGCCAAAGGTGCAAAGGGAGCCCTGCTCAGTGTTAATTCAGCCTGTCTGCTCGGCCAGGCTGGAGGATTGTGGGGAGGGAAGGAGAGAACAAACAAAGGAGAAGCCAACTGGGGCTTGAGGCCCAAGGGTCGGGGCGAGCCTGAGAACGTCTCACAGATCTGGGTGAGCTCGCATCGCTTCCTCAGAGCAATGTCTTATATGATGCTGTAGCATCGATCCTTTTTTTGTTTTTGTTTTTGCTTTTTGGTGAGGCAATCTGGGTTATGTGCCATACACAGTGCTGGGCAGCAGGGCCCAAAGACCAAATAGTGCCCTCATGAAGCTTATAAGCTAAGGGGAGCTAGGGTGCATGGAGCACTGGGCCTGGAGTCAGGAAGACCTGAGTTCAAATCTGGCAAGTCACTTCACCCTGTTTGCCTCAGTTTCCTCATCTGTATCTGAAGATGGAGATGGCAAACCACTCCAGTATCTTGGCCAAGGAAACCCCAAATGGGGGCACAAAGAGTCGGACATGACTGAAAATGGGGATAATAATGGTGCCTCCCTCTGGGGGTCATTGTGAGGACCAGACGAGATCGCCAAGGTGAAGCGCTTGGCAAACCTTCTTCATCCATGCCGGCCATCATTGCTGCGCCGCTGTCATCATCATTCCTACTGTCGTCACCAGCTGGGGTCGGAGAGAAGCTAAGATCTGCATGAATGAAGAGGGAGGGGGCAAGGGAGCACCCGGCACCTCGGCAGACAGCCGGCCCGGGAGGGGAAGAGCTCCTCAGGAGGCTGCTGTGTCCAGGCGGGATCTGGGGGTGGGAGACATGGACTCACGCCTGCCTCTCCTGCCTCCTTAGTGCGGCCTCAAAAGGTCCCTTCGGCTCCCGGAGGCCGGTTCTGAGCACGAAGCCCCATAGGCCTCTGTCTACGACTCCTGGGTGCCACCCGGCATTTGAGTTAGGGGATTCAGGGATTTGGAGCGGAAGGGCCGTGGAGGGCACTGAGTCCGATCTCCTCGTTTCATAGGTAAAGAAACTGAGGAAGCCCAGAGAGGCATTGCCTGTAACCTCTGGGGTAGGGTTCAAACCCCGGGCTTCCCCGATTCTGAGTTTTAGTGTACCACTTAAAGTGCAGGGTGATGGGGAGGAGACAGAACAAGGCACGGAAACCCCATTTCAGGAAGGATCTCCTGCTCACCGGGTAGCGCTGGCCCTCAGGAACAATGCGGCCAATCCCACCTCTTCGAGGCTCCCGCTCTTGGTGGGGGGACGGGCAGAGTCCTTAGTAGATGGAGCCGGGAAGGATTGGCCCTTTCTAGGTGCACGGGCGAGGAGTGTCTTCCCGCCCCAACTCCTGCGCTGGTTCCAAGACTTTATTCAACCCAAACAAGCTTCTATCAAGGGCCTCCCTGCCTTCAAGGAGAGTTCATTCTCCTACAGAAGATGATGCAGCCTGAGATGAACAACTACATGGGAATTTTAGGATGGAGCTTTACTTACCCATCAGTGGCAGCATTCTCCGGGTGCAGTGGCCAGGGAGGGGGGAGGCGGCAAGAAGAGCTTGTGTTAGGCACAGAGAAGCCCAAGGTCAGGGGGAACAGGCCGGCGTCAGGAGGCGTGGGGAAGGGGCCTGGCCAAACCAGAGAGCCTGTGAGGCCCCTTCTGTCGGAGAAAAAAACCTATACTCACTGTTGTCTCAGCACTTTTCTGCTTAGAAAAATGCCCAGACTGATGGAGTCCCCTCATGACTTCAGACATCTCTAGGATACAAGTCACTCTCACGTCAGAGCTCGTGGGATTATTGAACAAGGAACATTTTACAAAACGTTGAAACGGGGCTGCAGAGCTTAGGGTAAGGGAGCCGTTCACTCCATCAAAGAGAACAGTCAATACACTTTCAGTCCCTCCTTGGGAAGTACCTTCCCTAAACTGATTCATTTCTCTCCGACGCCTCTCTTCAAGTCTCCTCGCTGGCACCCGACAAAATTTCCTAAGCCCCCCCCCCATTACTAGGACATGGCGAGGCTGCGCTAGCTGGCCAAGGTCGTGACACAGACTTTCATCACAGCCCACCCCGGCGCCCATCCCCCTGTCTCTCCAGTGTTTTGGGGGCCCCACAGCCAGGCTGCAGCATTTTGCTTGGGTCTCAACAGCCAGAGTGGTCAAAGCCTTTCAGGAACAGAACCTGCATGGTGCTCCAACCTGGAAATACCATTGCTGCAGAGCACAGGCAAATGGGACCTGACCAGCCAGGTGCCAGGGAAAATGGCCCCAACCTGCCAGTGCCAGAGAAAATGGGCCCTGACCAGCCGGGTGCCGGGGAAAACGAACCCCAACCTGCTGGTGCCAGGGAAAATGGCCCCGACCTGCCGATGCCAGGGAAAATGGGCTCTGAACGGCAGGTCCCAGGGAAAACAGACCTGCTGGTGCCAGGGAAAATGGCCCCGACCTGCCGGTGCAAGGCCAGAGAACTGAGAAGTGAGGGAGCAGGAAAGGTCACCAGGACCCCACGTGGGGCGGCGGGGATGTGCAGCACTCTGCTGAGCCTAATGGAAGAGCCCAGCATCCAGCTGAGGCCAGAGACCTAGGCTGTTGAACCATGATTGCTCAGAGTGGGAGGAACCTGAAATCTAAAAGAAAAGAAGAAAGAGGAAAAAAAAAAGACAATTTGTCTTCAGTAGATCCCTGCAAAACAGGTATCCAAGAACAAGCATCCAGGAGAGAGCCCCTCTCACTCAGGGGTGGAGAAGCTGAGAGGCCACACACGGCCCTCCAGGTCCTCAAGGGTGGCCCTTTGACTGAATCCAAACTTTACAGAACAAACCCCCTTCATAAAAATGTGTTCTCTGGAGCCTGGGTTCAGTCAAAGGGCTGCCCTTGAGGACCTAGAGGGCCACATGTGACTTTGAGGCCGCAGGTTCCCCGCCCCTGCTCTAATGGGGTTCCTGCAAATGTATAGGGAACTATGGAAATTCTTGTGAGTGTAACAGGCCCCATTTCTCCTGGAACCCTCCTGTGCCCTGCTTGCATGCTGTGAGGGACTGTTTGATGTTGGCAGCTACCAGGCTGGGCACTGTGGCAAGGGTAGGGTAAGATCTGGGTATTTTGGAAGTCGAGGCAGGGGCTGTGGTAGGCAGAGTCGTGGTGAACTGGGATGGGCTGGATACAGAGAAGCCCTGAGGCAATGGGCAGTGCTTTGTGAGATAAGCTGGGTACAAGGAAGTAGCCGGAGCTTGAGCTCCTGAGGCAAGGGGCGGTGCCATGTGGGAGTGGGACGGCAGAGGACTGAGTTCCCTTTGCTTAGTCCCCTCCCTATATGCAACGTCATCCCCAGACGCCTCTTGTGACCTTCCTGACTTCCTGGGTCCCTTTGTGCAGCACTGACCCCAGACCCCTCCTGAGTCTGACTTCCTAGGTCACGTACTCTGTCTATGCGCTAAATCCCAGATGCCTCCTTCCTATATCTGGTCCTAGCCTCCTACATCACTCCCTCCCCCCTTGGTGTGCTAAACTCAGACAGCCCCTTCCGGTATCTGACCCTACAATCATTGGCTAGTAAGTGGGCTGGGGAGGAGGGGCTAGGTAGGTTTTTAGGAACAAGCGTGGTCAGATCACACGCGCGCTCTCTCCTGGCTCCTGCCCTGTTGCTCTGGCCTTGCTGCTTGGGCTTGCTATGATGGCTTGCTGTGTTGGCCTCTGAATAAAGCTCTGGTGTTGGCACCTCCCGATGGCTCGTCTCTGTGTGGTTATCTGGCAGAGGACCGAAGACTCAAGTGTGAGTAAGACTGTGGTAGTGTTCTCCTTATAGAAGGAGTGGGTACCGGCGTACGGCTGGCAGAAGGTCGGCGTGCGGCCAGTATAGCACGCCCACTAAAGGCTCAGGTCCCAAGAATGGCTCCTACGCTAAGGACGATGGCCGTGGGTCTACACACCTAACTCTAGCTCACGAGTTCCCACCAGGCTGCTAGTCATTAACAGTCATACCAGTGCACTCAGCTCTTGGCAAAGGCCAAGATGGCGCCGTAACATCAGTAGTTATATTCCCTCCATAAGCCTGGGCTGCCTCTCACACACAAATCTAGATGCTACCCGTGTCTGAGTGATCTCCCAGAGAGCAAGATGGTAGTGAGGCATGCGTGGGGGATACTGCAGGAGGCACGTGACTCAGATCTGCTTCCAGGCCCACAGTCCATCCTCCAACAGCCACCCGGGTACGTCGTCTTTGCCAGAACTGCCCCTTGGGCTCACAGAACCTGCTCCCCTCTTAGCCGACCCTTGAGCTCCAGGACTAGCCCTTGTCTGGAGTGTGTCTCCACTCCCCACTGGATGCAGGGTCTCCTCGGCTCTGATGATGCGGCTGTTGGGAAGGGGAGGAGCCCATCCCCCTTCTTCTTCCCACCCCAGCTCCGCAGGCCTATGATTCTCCTTCTACAAAAGCCTCCACCTCTCAAAGGGGAAGTGCTGCATTTTCTCCTTCTATTTAAAGCTGCTAGGTGTGGCTTTCTAGTTTGGTGAGCCACCTAATCAGAGGTGAATTCCGCATCAAGGGGCATCGGGGCCTAGACACAACTCTGGAAGCGTCAGACTCCCCCTTACTCGGATTCCATCTGGGCCTGCTGTGATCATTCCAACTGAGGTGGAGAAAGGAGCCTCGGTCCTCTGGACCAACCCAATGCTGGGGAGAGTCTTCTCCCCCTGGCCCAGTCTGCCTAAAACAAGTACATCTTCTACTGTACCCATGAAACCCTAATGGGAACATGAACTGACATCTTCAGCCCTCAAACCACAGCATTCAGAGAGGACTCTTACCTACAGAAGTAATCGTAACAAAGAAAACCAGCCACAGATGGGGATTTTGGCACCGGGGAAGCCAGGCTTAGCACTAGCAGGAAGGAAATGCATTTGCCCAACCAGTCTGGAACCCGCATGGAAAAGCACGTATTGGCCACGCCATTTGTGACTATCACAACTCATCCAGAAAGGTACGTTTTGTGGCTGCTCAGGCCTCCTCCAACAGAATAAGAGCCAGCACTTACCCAACACGTTACGGTTTCCAAAGCGTTTTACAAATATCTCTTTGATTCTTCTAACAAGCTGGGAGGTAGGGGCTGCTAAATTTGCCCTTTTTTACAAATGAGGAAACTGCGGCTAAGTGACTTACTTTCACTCAGCTAGTGTCACGAGGCTTGATCTGAGTTTGTCTTCCTGCCTCACTGCATCACCTCGCGCCCTCTCATAAAGGGACGTTGTTGTCATCTAGGAGTTTTCAACTGGTCAGATTCTCCTAGTCATACGGCACTCGATAATGGTGGGGAGGGTCCTCTGCAAGAATGGGCTTTGTGATAGGCTGAGCTCCACGTGCAGGAAAGAAGACAAAGGGCCCAGTGAAGAGGACTTGCAAAGTTGAATGAGGTTTACTGCAGATTGTTCAGTAGAGGCAGCTGGGTGACACAATGCAGAGAGTGCTGTACTTGGAGACAAAAGACCCGAGTTCATATCTGCCTTCAGACACTTAACTGGCTTTGTGACCCTAGCAGGGAATGTCACTTCACCTCTCAGTCTGAGTTTCCTCATTTGTAAAATGGAGACGACAGCACCCTCCTCACACGGCTGTTATAAGGGTTAGTTACACTATATATACATATACATATAAATTTTTTTTTTACCAAAAATGTATACACACATATAAAATATCGGCTGATCTCACTCTGCCAATCTCAAAGTCACGTGAATGTGCGCGGTTACTGTTCTTGCTCTTCGAGGTCTCTGCAAGGCTGAAAAGAGAGGAGCTCTTCCTAAGGTTTTGGGTGGGGGCTCCGCTGGCTGGCTAGGAGCTGCGGGCACCTTTGGTGGAGCGGATCAGGGGCTGGAGTCAGAGGCAAATCACATTTCCAACACTTCTAGTTCTGTGACCCTGGAGCCAGGCCGTCCCTGTGCCCCCTCTTCTTCACCTATGAAATGGGGCAATTAAGCTGGATGGTCTTTGAGATCCCTTAAAAACAGTGGAAAAGACGGCAGGCGAGGAGTGGATTGGGTCTTAGCATCAAGTCCCCCAGTCACTCAGCAGAGCCTGAGGTCTTGGACTGGCCGGTGGGGGCAGTGGGGCAGTGAGGAGACACAAGCAACCACACTACCTCTAGATATTAGCTATAGGAGGGTGAACATCAGCACAGTAACGTCACAGGAAGAGTAGCCTGAACCCTAGATGGCCCCTACCAAAGGCCCCCTTTATGAGACCCCTTACAGAGGGGACACCAGGTTCAGAGAGCCCCTTCTCCCAAGGTTCACCCGAGAGGAATCAGGCTGTCTCACCTCTCAGGCTCAGGTTGCCCTCAGCCCTAGAGAAACTCCAAGAAATCTCTAGAGCAAAGCTTAGGTAGAGTTTATGTCTAGCATTCCCCCCGCCCCGCACCCCCCCGGGGCCCAAGGATTCCACGGACAAAATGGGGATGAGTTACAGGACAGCTTTTTATTTACTCCACCACAGAAAATGCTTCAGATAAAACAGATTAAAAGGCAAGCATTCACAAATTAACCACATTCACACTCCACTGAAAGGCAGATACAACTTTTTAGACTGGTGGAACAGACATTTCCATTTCATCTCAGAATGACGCTGTCTGAGACACTCTCTAGGCCAGCCAGGGCAGGGCTTCCTTAGTCACATTGGTTGCAGTATTCTGCTAGTGACGGGGACGTGGGAAGGTAGTGTTTTTGTTTTTGCTTTTTTATGGGAGAAACGGTGCAACTGCGGGTAACTGCTTCCTTCTAAGCAACTAGCACCAATACAGAAACTTAAATTCTAGAACTCACGAGGGGTACTCTCAGAGCTGGAAACATTTACTTCTCAGATTTGTTGACCACTGGTCTGTGCTCACAGAAAACAGAAAGCTGAAGGTAGCCAAGGACTCAGGCTGACCCCAAAAAACACATTCTTACTCTCATGTGTATACATGCCATTATTGTATTTACAAGCCATGTAATATAAAAACAAGAGGGATCCTTTATTCAACTAAAATACTCAGGCAAATCACAATATGGCAGGAAATAGATGGCACCATCTACTGTGGAGAATGGTAACTGACCATGGAGAGAGCAGCTGCTCAAAAATTCTTGTTTGGCTGAGAAGAATGACCTTTGCACCTGAAAAGACAGAATAACGATTTACAGGGAGTTGACATCCAACAAAAGGAGACTGGAAGAGAGCATCTAGTAGACCTCGATGAATTGAAGTAATTAGGCCCGGATAAACCACATCCTTAAGTCCTGAGAGAACTTCGGGTGTGATGTTGAGAGATCAAGGAGCCACTGAATTGGAGGACAAATGATGTTCTGACTTTCAAAGGCGGGAAGAAAACAGAATCTACGAACTATAGACCAGACAGCTTGATTTCAATTCCTGGGAAAATTCTAGAATAGACCATTAAAGACATATCTGGCAAATATCTGTAAAGCAGGGCAGGGATTATAAAGAGCTCCATCAAGAATACATTATGGTGGGGCAGTGAGGTGGCGCAGTGGAGTCAGGAGGACCTGGGCTCAAATCTGGCCCCAAATACATAACACACACTAGCTGTGTGACCCTGGGCAAGTCACTTAACCACATCGCCTAGCCAAAAAAAAAAAAAAAAAAAATAATACATCATGGCAAACTATCCTCATTTCTGATAGGTGGAGGGGGCAGAATAAACTAATAGATGAGAATGTTGTGGATACAGTTTACCTAGATTTTGGCAAGGTTTTTGATAAAATATTCCGTAAAATTCTTATGAAGAATATAGAGGGATATTTATTACACAATAACACCATCAGATGGGTTAAGAATTGGTTGAATGACTGGACTTGAGCGGCTGTTAGTGGTTTAATGTGAACATGGTGGGAGGTCTCTAATGGAGTACCTCAAGGATCCCTGTTTGGCTCTGTGCTGGTCAACATTCTTATCAATGACTCGCATAAAGGCAGAGATGGTCTGTTACTTGGGAGGGACAATTAATACAATACAGTGGATGACACAGTCAGGATTCAAAAGGATCTTGGCAGGCTAGAACATTGGACTAAATCTAATAAGATGAAATTCAATAGGGATCAATGGAAAATCTTGCACTTGGATACAAAAAGAGTCACTTCACAAGTATAAGATGGGAAGACACAGCAAGACGGCAGTTATGAAAAAAATATCGGGAGTTTCAGCGAATTATAAACTCCTATGAATCAGCAGTGTGACATGGCAGCCCCCAAAACTACTGCAATTTCGGGCTGCTTTAAGAGAGGCCTAGCTTCCTGGAATGGGAGAAGTGACAGCTCCACTGCACTCTGCCGTCATTGGACCACATCTGGAGTACTGCTTTCAGAGCGCCACGTTTTATGAAGGATGCTGATAAACTGGAGAGTGCCCAGAGGAGGGAAACGTGGATGGTAAAGGGCTAGAGTTCATGTCCTAGGAAGATCAGCTGAAGGAAGTGGGTGTTTGGCCTGGAGAAGGGGGAGGTATGACTGGGGTCTTCAAGTATCTGAAGGGCTATCATGTGAAGGGAAGATCAGATTTCTGTTTGACCTCAGAGAAAGGACCAGGAGTCATAGATGGAAGAGGCAAAGAAGCTAATTTAGGCTGATGTCAGAAAAAAAAAAGTTTGCTAAAAATTAAAGCTGTCCATAAGTGGGATGAACTGTCATGAGAGGGGATGGGTCCCCACTCCTTGGCAGTCAAGTGGAAATTGGATGACTACTTGTTGGCTATGTTAGAATAGATTCCATTGGTGTATGGTTGATGAGGTCCCAAAGAACTCAGATATTCTGTGATCCTGTTTTCCCTGGAGGGAAGCCTTCTCTCAAATATTCAATCCAATTCAAGCATTTATTAAGCACTTTATATCTTCCAAGCACTTGCGAGGCCCTGAGGATACAGACAAAAACAAGATGATTCCTGCCTTGTAGGCACTTCCTGCTTCTGGAGGAAAACAGTATGTATGTGCAAAATAAGTCTAAAATATGGACAAAATACACACCAAATTTCTGGGGGTGGGTAGGGGCCAATAAATGGGGAAATTGGGAAGTGGTTCTGGTGTAAGATGGCACTTGAACCAAGCCTTGAAAGCAGGCAGGGATTACAAGAGAAGTGAGGAGGAAAAGCATTACAAGCGGTGTAAATTTATGGAAATGGGAGATAGAATGTTATGTAGGGGGAGAATAAAGAACCCAGCTTGACTGGAAGGAAAGAAGTTGACCAGATGTCTCTGATGTTGACCAACCGTATGTTCCAATATAAGGCCATCCCACACCATGACATCTCTATGGCTTTTCTCTGGTATGAATTATCTGGTATCAAATAAATCCTCTGCATTCGTAAGGGTTCTCTCCAGTGCGAATTTCCTAATGTTGAGTAAACTTTGACTTCTGACATTAATTATGTTCATAAACTTTCCTTCCACTATGAATTTTTCGATGTTCAGAAAGTCCTCTGTTCTGGCGGAAACACTTCCCACATTCATTACACTTATAAACTTTCTCTCCAGTATGAATGTTCTGATGATCAGTAAGTCCCGTCCTCTGGGAGAAGGCTTTACCACATTCGTTGCATTTGTAAGGCTTCTCTCCAGTGTGAATTCTCTGGTGTCGAACGAGATCTGTTTTCTGACTAAAGGCTTTCCCACATTCATTACAGTCATAAGGTTTCTCTCCAGTGTGAATTTTATTATGTTCAGTAAGTCCTTTCCTCTGGGAGAAAGCCTTTCCACACTGATTGCATTTGTAAGGCTTCTCTCCAGTGTGAATTCTCTGGTGTCGAATAAAATCTGTCCTCTGACTAAAAGCTTTCCCACATTCGTTACATACATAGGGTTTCTCTCCAGTGTGAATCTTCTGGTGTTCAGTAAGCCCCTTCCTCTGGCGAAAGGCCTTCCCACATTCATTACATTCATATGGTTTCTCTCCGGTATGAATCTTCTGATGTTCAGTAAGCCCCTTCCTCTGGCGAAAGGTCTTCCCACACCCATCACATTCATAAGGTTTCTCTCCAGTATGAATTGTCTTATGTTGAGTAAGATGTGAGCTCTGCCGGAAGGCCTTCCCACATTCCTGACATACATAAGGCTTCTCTCCAGTATGAATTGCTTGATGTTTAATAAGTTGTGATCTCCAGCAGAAGGCCTTCTCACATTCGTTACATTTATACTCTTTTGCTTTAGTACATATTCTCTGATTTTCAACAGGGGTTAAATTATACCTGAAGGATTTCCCACATTCGGTACACATAGAAAATATCTTCTTCGGGTACATTTTATTGCATTTTAACAAATGTGTATACAGTCTAAAGTTCTCTCTGTGTGTATCACATTTACAGAAATCTGTTTCAACAGATATTTTCTCTTGTGGCAAAATGACTGGTTGTAGACTGATACTGCTATCGCGTTTATTATATTTAGGACCACTGATACCACGGGAAGGTTTCTTTTGAGTGAATTTTACTTGCTGAGGAAGTTCCTTATGATTTCTCTGCTGTTTTTCTATCAAGGAGTCATATTTCCAAGCTTCCTCCAAGTTGGAAGCACAAAGACCATCTCTTGTGAGTCTTTCCTGGGATGACTGTTCTGGTTTTAGAATCGATACCTTGGTTTCAAACATACTTTCCCAACCTAAAAGAAAAAAATATCTTGTAAATATCCCATTGCCCTGCTCCATCAAGAAAACTGACTTTCTAAGCCCATTTTAGCAATGCTCATTCCCTCGATTTATTTTTCTTGCTTTACTGCTACTGCCTGTATTTCTAATGGTAGGTCAAGGAAGAGTGAAGACAGGGTGCATCCTTGGCTTCTCATCAGATCTTACTGGCAAACTGCCCAGTGTTTCTATATTACAAACAAGATTAGCTCTCAATTATAGATAAATGCTGTGGATTAAATTAAGCAAAGGTCCTTCAATTACTATGTGTTTTTTTTAAAGAATTTTTAACATTTGTGCTATGTCATTAAAGGTTATGTTTCTGAAAAAATTCTAAAGATTTTTGTTATTAATGTGATTAATTATTCTGGTTATATCAAGCTGAATCATCCTTGTAATCTGTGGCATAAATCCAATTCTGCCACAATTTTTAAAAAACAGTCTATGTAACAGTTTAGTTCAAATGTTTTCATCAACATTCATTAGTTCTCTCCTCACATGCCCCTTGCTTACTCACTCCACTCCCCTAACACTGCTGAGGGCAATGCCATCCTCCCAGTTCCTTCCAACCTAGTAGTCATCCTGGATTTCTCTGCATCACTTACTAATCTGCTACCAAGGCCTACTGATTTCACCTCTGCAACATCCCCTCACCACTGCCCCGCTCTCCTCTGATACCGCCACCCACTCGAGGACAGGCCCTCATCATCTCATACCTGATAACTGCGATAGCGTGCAGTTGGGTCTGCCTGCCTCAAGACTCCCCCCACTCCACTAAAGTAATTTTCCTAAAAGGAAAGTCTGACTATGTCACCCCCTTATTCAACAAACTCCAGTGGCCCTGGGGGTGTTGGAGTTCAGGCTGTTTCAAAGGTCTTTTTGGCCAACAAGTTTGAGACACCTGACTTGATGGAAGTAAGACCTGTCTGTGCCTTGGGATGCGCACTTAGCTCTCTTCCCCTTGGGGATGCAAAGTTAATCTCTGTGACCACAGAGCCCAACCCAACCTAGCTGGGAGGCCTCCAGAGTGTCACAGGCAGAGCCTGGGAGTCAAAGGGCCTGGAATCAAGAGGACCCAAGTTCAAATCCAGCCTCAGACATTAGCTGGGGGACCCTGGGCAAGCCACTCAGTCTGTCTTTTGGCTTTGTGTATACTCAGTGCTTAGCACAATGCCTGGTACATAGCGGATACTTATTAAACGTCTACTGACTGACTCTGTCTGCCTTAATTTCCTCAACTGGAAAACAGGAATGATAGCAGCACTTACCTCCCAGGATTGTTGTAAGAATCAAATGTGGTCATATCTGTAAAGTGCTCAGCACTGTGCCTGACATCACACCCTAGGGACAGCCCAGCCTTGCCTCCACCACCTCTCTAGCCTGGAACAGTGTTCCTTCTTACAAAGCTCCTGCTGTCCAGCCCAAACTGGACAAGGCTCCCCCTGCCTACTGCTCAGCACGGACTACAGCCATCACAGGCACTCAACAAATGCTTGGCCGCTCTGTCCTCCCCCAATCCCTTTGTCTTTAATGCCCATCCTACCTGGACCTCCCCCAGGGCCTGGTGGCCTCACTGTGACCTCCCATCCTTCCCCTTCCTTTCCATCCCCGACAGCTCCCAGCAGACACGCTGAAGGTTAAAACAATGTCCTTTTCCTTCTCTCTCCCAACAACAGCAGAGGTCTGCATGGAATGATTTCCAGTCCCAGGGTCCAACACGTACCCTCCGGGGGACAGTGGACAAAACCAACTCAGCCCGCCTGAGACTTTCCTAGAAATGCTTCTCCTCATTTGCTGACTCACGGAGTGGGGGATGTAACGGGGCAACGGGGATGGCAGCTACTCATGTGACTATCAGGCAGGTGCACCTGGTTAGGATCCCAAATCTAGGTATCCAGTCTGCTGAACTCCAGTCCTAGACACATCCATTCGGGCCTCAAACCTCCTGACATCAAAATTCCCTTTGGTCACTGTGCCCCACCACCCTTCCAGCAGCCCAGGAAGGTCACTCTTCCCCTCAAAGTTTATGAGACATGAGAGACCCCAGGATCCCAGGCCTAGAGCGAGGAGGGCCTTGGAAGTCATCTGGCCCAGCCCCTTTCTCTGAAGCGCCTGATCCAGGAGCACCCAGGCAGCCCCAACGCAGGGACCTGAGCCTGGGCTCTCTCCACTCCCCCACCCTTTCCAAAGCCTCAAATATATGAGGGTGGTTAGTTATCAAGTGCTACGAGTCTTCTCTATCTGAGAGAACCCCAACTGAGGATAAGGACGAGGATAAGACAAAAGCAACAGGCAGAAAAAACAGGAGAATTTGGCCTTGCACCCCAGAGCCACGAAGGTCACTCCAAGTGTCCGACATCGATATTTCATCACAGAATAAGAGGGATAATGAAAACAAATGTCTGTAGGTCACTGGGGGCGCCACCCTGCAGAGTCAGGAAGACCTCAGTTCAAAATCCAGCCTCAGATCCCAGCTCTGTGACCTTGGGGAAGTCACACCCTGTCTGCCTCAGGTTCCTTAACTGTAAAATGGGAATCAACATCCCTGGGTTTTGAGGCTCAAATGAGATATTTACAAAGCACATGGCACAGTGCCCCTCACACAGTAACACCTAATAAATGTTTATTCCCTCTCCTTTCACCCAACAGTCCTATAGTTTAAGGTTAACAATGTATTTTACAGACATGATCTCCTCTGAACACCACAACTGAGAGCAGAGGGGAGCTTCTTAATCTGGGAGCTAGGAAATTATCTTTGTTTTTTTTTTCCAATCTGACTGCTTCCTTTGAAACCCTAAAATTTTATCTTGTGATTATAAACGTGCCTCCAAGAAGGGTCCATGGCAGGACACCCAGCAAAAAGCCCCACGTTAAGAGTCACCGGGCTCTTCAAGAACCGCCTCGACTGGTCTCCCAGGTCACAGTTCTAGAACGTGTCTGCGGGAGATGTGAACCGAGGCCTGCCAGGCCTCCCTGCTATGGCGCGTGTCCTCTGGGAAAGGAGCTTCACTTATGAACACGGGAGACAGCCACAAACCGCCAAAAAGGGAAGCTGAGAGGGTGCAGACAACCACGCCGAGGAGCTTCGAGGAGGCGCCTCCCCTCGCACCCCAGAGGGACGTGACGGGGGCCGAGGCGGAAGGGCACAAGTCACGTCAGACTTCCAATGTGTTCATCAGTTTACCTGAATTCTTCCTCTCTTCTCCCTCTTAAAAAACACTCTCAGGGACAGCTTTTCTGAGAAGGAGGAGGGCAGTGTAGAAATAGAAGATATCAACCAAAACCCCGCCTATTTTTTAGAAGGAATAGGGGAGCCCTGGCCAGTTTCAGGAGAGGCCTGGAAGGAAAAATGGCGGCTCACAGGGATTGCCAGGTGAGAGAATGAAGGCATCTCCCATGGGCTAAGCACCCAGGGTGAAACCGAACCAGGTCTTACTCAAGAGACCTGACTTCTGACGACCACACACCGTATAGAGGGTCGGGGCAAGCCGGCTGGGGCCTCCTCCAGAGCAGCACTGAGGCGAGGAGTCAACAGCGTCAACTGGCCATCAGCTGCCTTCTTTGGGCCGGGATCCAGGACGTCAGGGGCCTCCCAAGCTCAGTCACGGGAGGGGACCACTACTTACTGCTGCCAGCCAGCCACCAAGCATCTACTAAGTGTTTACTGTGTGCCAGGCACATAGCTTAGCACAAGGAAGACAAACCAAAACAGAAAGAAAGACCATCTTTGCCCCCAAGGAGCCACCATTGTCGTGATGAGAGGGAGCTGAAAAGGAGGAAGGGGGATGGGGGGGGAAGGGGGAGGGAAGAGAAAGAGGTACTTTAGGAGCCCAGGAGAGAAAGTCCTGCCAAAATGATTCAGTCAGGCTTGTTATCAAGGAGGACCATGACATCAGAAGGGTGATGCCAATCAGTAAGGCAGCCCTAAGAGGAATGAACCCCTCTTTGGCCTGGGAGGGCCAGCCTGCCAGGAGGTGAGGCTGGAGGGGCAAGGGTACTTTCGACAGGAGAAGTCTAAAGACGTTCCTAGTGATTCATGTGGGCCCACAGGATGGTTCCAGGTGTCAAGAAAGCACAGCCAAGAACAACAAAGTCTTGGGTAACAAATCGAAAACCTGAGAAGTATATGCCTGGATCCTGACCAGAGGCAAGGACTTCAGAAAGGCATAAAGATGGGTGAAGAAGAGGAAAAAAACCATTCTCTACTGGCAGACAAGATGAAGGTTTACTTGAAAACCCCAGAGAATCAGCAGAGATGCTAACTGATGCGACTAAGAGCTTCAGCAGAGTTTCAGACTACAAAATAAACCCTCAAAACCCAGGAGCATTTCTATACTCTAATAACAATAAAACACAAGGAGTAGTAAGAGAAGAAGAAATCCCACTCCAAATAACTATACAGCATATAAAATGTCTGGGGAATCACCCTACCAAAGCGCACAAAAGACTGCATAGATTCAATTACAAAGAGCTCCTTAAAGAAATAAAGGACAACCCAAAGAGCTGAAGGAATATCCAGGGCTCGTGGCTAGGCGGTGCCAACGTAATAAGAATGATAATACTAGCAAAGTTAACTTACACTTGCAATGCTATATTAACCAAGTTATCAAAGGGACACTTCACAGAACTCGTTGAAATAATAAAATTCATTTGGAACAAAAGATCCGGAATGAAGGAAAAAGATGAAAAGAAGTCAGAACAAAGGGGGAAAAGCACTTCCTGACCTCAGACCACATTGTAAGGCAGCCGTCACCAAAGGGACAGAAGTGCCAGATCACCTCACTTCTCTCCTGAGGAACCTATAGGCAGGCCACGAAGCAACAGCCAGAACCAAACACGGAACAACCGAGGGGTTTAAGATTGGGGAAGGAGGATGACAAGGCTGCACACTGTCACTTATTTATTAACTTAGGTAACTTACATTAACTTATCTGCACATCACGCAAAAAGTCAGGCTGGATGAATCCCAAGCTGG